TTTCTTGTAAGACAGCTTGAAAAGTCTGCAAAATATACTGATGCTAGTCCATTTGCGCACTTTTCAAGTACGATGTTGATATTAAGCTGTTTCAAAATTCGTACAGGCATAGACCTTTATAAGCCGCACTTTTCGTAATATTTAGCCCGAATGACAGCCCAGCCTACTGGATTACTGCGTTCCTGTGAAAAGGTTAAATTCTCGATATTTTTCTTTGCGTTGATGATACCGAATTAAGTTATTTAAAAAAGTTGCTTAGAAATCGATTTTGATCTATATATACAGAATTTCAACCCAAAATTCGAATTTTAAATATTGTTTTTTTAATTTTTATATTCAAGTCCGATCTTCTACGAAAATTATAAATTCGTTATAATGTAGGAACAAGAATAAAAAAATCTAATATTCATCATGACAAATTCAAATTTTGATCATCAGCTACTGAAAAACCACAGAGGATCAAAATTAAATGACAATTAATGAAGCCAATTTAACAGGAAATAAAATAAACACTAATATTGGAAACCAGTTCCAAATATTGTCTCTCTCAACTGGCCGGCTCTCAATTCTGATACATATTTCAATTATTTTTCCACCATCAATTGAAAATCGGACTTGAATATGAAAACTACAAAAAAAAATTTCGAATTATGGGTTTAAATTCACCATGTAGAGTCAAAATTGATTTCCTAGCAACTTTTTTGAGTGACTTATTTCGGTATCTCCTACGCGAAGCAAAATATCGATAATTTGCCTTTTTCGCAGAAACTCAGTAGGCTGGGTGTAATGCTGTCACTCGGGCTGAGTATTGTAAAAATTGTGGCCCATGAAGGTCTACGCCTATACCAAAACTCAAATATCTGCTTTCAAAAACAACTAAAATACAGGGGCGTCTTCATCTTAAGTGTGTCACACTGTATGAACAGTTTCAAATGAATGAATTTGTGCAAAATGGCATGTATTTGCCTATATCTAGTGCTTTGGAAAGCATCATTATTTAGATCAAAGCACGTTTGCTGGATCGATAAAGAGCATATGAGTCTTTGTTTGTTCAAAACAATTTACCGCACCAACACCGTGATAAAAGATATCAAACTCAGCGACTCTGTGAAACGCAAACAAGCCAAGCATTGCTTTTATTGCTCTCTCTAGTTCAGAGGAGATAATGCCTAATTAAAAATGGTTTATTTCTGTAATTATGACTAGGATTTTGAATGAGTTTAAATAGAAATTATGAAATGTCCAAATCGCAATTTTCTTCTCAACTTACTTCAGATGTTAATAGCTAGTTTCCTGAATAGAATCTAACGTCTTTGGAGTATGCTAGCAGTCGGAGCTATACACAGGATGTCCCAGAATTTATTTGTGAAGCTAGAAAAAAAGAGAAATGCCAGAATGCTCTCCTAAGATAATCTTTGGAATCGGTGTTACCATTGCAGTTTTCAATAAACCTTACCCAACTTTGTTTTTTTTTTTCAAATGACAGCCCCAAAATATTTCCACTTTGTTTGAGTCCACATGTCACTGTAAATGCTATCACACATAATTTCTTATTCAGTCAATATGCGATATTTTCGTGTGAGAAGTGTTGCAGAAATTAAACAAAGTGAGCTTGGAAAGACGTTGAATTGCCTTCGTAAGAACATCATCGACATCATCTTTGAAAAAAATATCTTCTAATTCAGTTTTTGAAATGGCATCCTAAACGAATTCACAGTCTACCAGGAGTTGCTTCCAACCTGGGGGTAGATGTCACTCCTACTCGAGGATGAAATGTTTTTCTGAAAATGAGTCCGGGAATAGATGCACGGACAAATTCTAAGCAACTGCTGTTATATAAAGTTTTTCTGAAAGTTAACACTCTTCGACTCCTTTGCGATTAAATGTGTCAATATTTCAACTAAACCCACGTTTTCAAAGGGTTTTTCGCGAATAACTAAAAAAGTAAGTTTTTTATCGAAAAAATCTTACTCAATTAAAATATAGCTCTTGGAGAAAACAAACAGAATGATGGATTTATGACGTCACTAGACCAAATACAAATAATGATAATAATATTGGAGTACTTCTTGGAATCATGCCCTCCCTATTCAAAATCATGCTGGCTTGCCGCACGAAGGCAGAAATCTTGATCGGACAAATGCAGAAGGCTGTAATAACTGTTGGCTCATTGCGCCTGCTTACGGAACATGATTCTCGGACCCCATGATCACCTACTCAAGGTATGGGGAGCGGTCATTGGTTGATGATGCTGGCGCGCCCTTCCGAATGTATCGGAGCTTCGTGGCCAGATCCCGACTGACACAACTTTCGGGAAAAAATGGAAATTGTAGATAACAATTTCAAAAATAACATATAATTATAAGTAAAGGCCAAAGTTCAATTCGGTTTTTGTATGAATCCATCCCCCTAGATCTTGACGTTATTCTCTAGTGTAGTGATTGAAATTTTCTCGAGACAACCTTGATCGAAAAGCCATAAGATCTCTAAAAAAATTGAGATCTTGTGAAAAAAATTGAGATCTTGTGAAAAAAGTTGAGATCTTGTGAAAAAGTTGAGATCTTGTAAAAAAAGTTGAGATCTTGTGAAAAAAGTTGAGATCTTGTGAAAAAACTTGAGATCTGGAAATGGGAGTCGACAGGGGAAGAATTTGAGAATGACCCGTAAATATTATTGAAACGCCACTATATACAGGGTGTTCATTTGAAAACTTCCCACCACGGATTTATCGTTATATGTACCGTTATTGCTAAGTAAACATTTCTTAACTTACATATTTCACCTCTCTTATTAGATGTTTTGAAAAATTCACATTTTTCATGTTTGGTCGAACATCTTTTATTTTGAACCCGGAACCTCTGGAGTAGTCCAAAACAACACTCTATCTAGATTGTAGTCTATTTCATCTCTCGAAGACGCCGACTTGGTTGGTGGAACGCGCATCGAGAAGAGTGTTGCAGTTCTGGTGTTTGAGAACATTTCTTGTTTTTTTACATGAGAAGATAATGATACACATTTCTCGTCTTCACTAGGTAGGTAGGTAGGTACAAAGTGAGTTAGTATATTAGATCGTCCACTGCAACCGGCAGGATGTATTCTGTCTCACACCAATCCAAACTCGACAAAAATCAAAATGACCATTCCCGAAATTTGTATGCTCTTTGATTGATAAGACACTTGCCTTATTGCCTCTTCAGCACCAATCTGAATAACATCATAAAATGAATGTCATTACGTGCTTCATCAATGACATGAGTAGATTCAACTCATTTGTGACATAGTCGCAATTTCATGGAATGAATTGGGTGCTTCATCTTACGATGTTATTCAAATTGGTGCCGAAATATTGAATGTTCGCCATGTCCCATGTAAGTGAAATTTTACCTCTTTCATATACTATATTGTGTAGCAATCCAATACATGATATCTGATTCAATGCCATAGTGTTTGGAATACATACTGAAATAGAAAAAGTGTTTTCTGTATAATTCAATGTTCGTATAGTATCGGTTTCTAGAGTTTTTTTTTTCTCCTGTAATTCATATTTATATGCAAGTGGTTGATTCAAAATGGCTTTTTCTTCCAATTTTGTGACAGAAAGTTACTTCTTTGCATGATCTACAAATATTTGTAAAGAGTTTATCATTTGCCTTCTTCCTTTGAAAGATTTACACAATTTTTTGTATAAAGATGTAGAAGTAGAAAGCCAAAACCTTTTTTCCCAGAAATTAATCTCTCCTAAAAATGTACCTCTTTCAATTCAGATAACGAGTGTATTTTGAATAGATCAAAAATAGGAGAAATCGCTGACATTATCACTCACCAAATGTGGGCAAAACCGAGGACGTGTGTTTTTGGCTTTTGGACTCGTCTGCATGGTGCAGCGAAGTATATAGATAATCAACACGTTGTTTGTCAAAAACTACACATATGTATATATGCTGACGTGTTATCCCAGGTGTACATCCGTTCGTCTTTGATATAACCACGACGTTTCCGCAAGATCGCACTTGCCATATTCAAGTGCCTAACAGCCCAGATTGTATTCTTTCATCAATGGAGTTTGGTGCGACTCTTTCATACCTGCAGCTGTGGAAAGCCCCTTATGGAAAAACCGTAATCTTTTTTTGGAGCCGTTTTTTGGATTTACTTTGTATGCTAAGCAAAGGCAATGAAGATTCCATCTATTACGTCAACAGACCCTATCCACGATATATCAACGATGAACGGGACTCCAAATGCAGTCCGTTGCAAAAGCAAGCTTCCACATAGGCCGACGAATGAGATTCGTTTCCTATCTTTCACTACATGGCTGAACCATGATGGATCAGCGTGAGTAAATAAAGGCGACATCTTACGAAGACGCCATCTATGGGATCGACAGAAGACTCGATCCAAGTATATCAGAAATTGAAAGAGGCTCTCAGGCAATCAGATGCAATGCTAAGCTTCGGCCGGTTTCCTTTTCTATCTCATAGATGGAGTCCAGCAATGCATTCGTGGTTCAGCCTTTGTATATAGACTAGTCTATATACAAAGGTTCAGCTTAGCACAACTGAGAACTATGGAGGATCAAATCAGCTGTCTGGTTTTGGATCTCGAATGCTTTCTTTATTGGGTTCTAGTTTCAACATTGTGTTATCTCCTCTCGACAGGGAGTGTTGGTATCTTCAGTAAGGTTTTTGCTTGGTTGCCATCTTCAACACCAATGAAACAGTATTTTCTGATCCGAACACCTTCACAGTTAGTTCATAGCTCAGTGCACAAATCTCAGACCCAACAATCTTTCTAATCTCCAAGTTGGTCCTAATCAGGATCGAATGATTGGTATCAAATGTCTCTTTGGAAAGAAATACATTAATATAGTAACAAAACAACTTTTGAGCCTTTTGTGAAACATGTCTTAACCGGTGAATAGTGGCTCAGATTCATTGTTCCTAGTATAGGAAATGGCCATCATTCTATCAATACGAGCGATTGTTGGAATAAAAATACTCAGGTAAGTGAAATACTTTTATTATGTCATTAAAGCATTACATATTCTAATCCATACATAAACACAAAGTCTGATATATACTACTTAGAGAAAACTTAAAAAATAACGCTGATCTGCCCATGACTGTATTTCAAAACCACAGAACATTGAAGAAATAATTTGTACTAGATTGTTCCATGGCATACATAATCTTGAACTCGACAGAAGTCAAGTTCACTATTATAATACAAAACTTTCAATTTTCACTGTTAGTACTATACATGAAGTTAAACATAATGAATATCCCAATAATGAACTTTAAGGCAAACAATATTTATGCCATGTCAAACCAAAAAAAAAGGCAGTAAACCAGAAAAAACCAAATCTTGTTGGTTAAGACACAATAGATGTAATATTCATTCAGGAAAAGTCAGTACACGAAATTTCAAACAAATAAAAAAATCTTTAATAATGTGATGCTTCCCGATTTTTTTTGCAATTACGTACTTTGGAAGAACTGTATTACATTTATCAAAATTTCATAAATTTGGTATTTGCCCATGAAGAAGTCAAAATGGAATGTTTCTTATGATCAAGATTATCAAGAATATGATTACACAAAGTTTATAACCTAAAAAATATTCCACTCTACAATGATAATTGTAAGTCTACAATGATAATTGTAAGATCCATTATATGATTACATACTCCTCATAGGCCCCTTGAGTCTTCTTAATAATTATTGCGTTCCGTGTTGTTATGGACACTGAAAAAAAAAAAAAACAGAATTGAATATTAATTTTGATTTGTTTGGAGATAAGACAAACTAAAACTTTTCACTTATGCCTTGGAAAATACCACTAGTATTGTTAAATAAAGATGACAAAAACATTAATGAATCAACAAAAACTACTGAGATGTAGAAGTAGAGAGCCGTAGCCTTTCTTTCTCAAAAATTGGTATTTCCTAAAAAATATACCCCTTTCAATTTACACTGAGAAATACTTATTAAATCTGTGATAGTTTCAGTGAACAATATATTCAGTGATTCTCCGTAGCTTCTAAAAGTTTTTCTATACCATAGTCGTTTCCAAAGCAAACCCAAAGAAAGATGCTTAATAGTCATCCGAATCTGCAGTTTGACTTTGGATATAATTCAGTCATGTCTACCTGTGATCAATTGTAGCTCATTGGTTTACAACAATCATGACCACCATGACTTCAATTTATGTTTACTCAACTGAAGCATGTTTCTGTTTTTATGGAGCTTGCCTTGGACTTGAGACCATATTATGAATCTCCTTTTGTTGTGGGTGAACTTAATCTGATTTCTACAATCAAAACACATTTTGGAAAAAGTTTGTCTGATTCCGATTAAAGTTCTTTGAAATGTGAATATGAACAAACAATAGTATACTAATATACTTGTAAAGTGAACAAAGAATATGTCAGAACCAGTTTGAAAAAACTAAAGAAGGTGTGAGGTTGTTTGGCAAGATGAAATAAAATTTAAATGGTTCTCCAAATAGTAGGATTTTGAAACAATCACTGCAAACACATAGTATTGATTGGACAAATATTTTCATCAATTTGATAGAAGAGAAGAGAGGAAATTGTTTTCAGTTTTATCTATATCATACAACTACAATACAAAATTCTAGAAGAAAAAGTAAGACATCTTTCTTCGATCAAAATATGTTTTAGTTGCAGCTTGTACTTCAACATGAATTAATGCCCTTCCTAGAGGTTTATTGTCCATAGGAAAGGGGCAAATTAGACTGTGCAGTGGTAAACAACACTTCAGCCTCATAGCACAACTACCTATTAACCAGTTTGGATTTATAATTGCAGTTTTCAGAATATTTTCAAGTACAAGATACAATTTTTCAATCACCTGGTCTTAATCTGATTATTTATAAGAACAGACAAAATTCAGTTTTCCATATTTTTTAAATCTTTACAAATCAAACCACATAACATGTATAAAACTTCCATGCTCAATGATATCATTTCTTGAAGAATATTAGTAGGCGAGACAAGCATCTAGAATAGCTTATTGCCGCTCTAGTGGGTAGGTGTGACAAAAGTAATTTTACAGATATATAATAATTTTACACATTCTAAACTAATCTAAACCAATTCCATTTCTGCCTAGCAATTTATGGTATCAATTAACATGTGAAAACTTCGAAACTGATCTTACATGTTTAGATAGATGAATCTTCAACATATCGTAATATACATATTTAATTATAATTTACAGAAGTGATTGATGAAATATAAAACATACATAGAAATGAACTGTACAGTCACTCTTAATAATTACTTAAAAGTTACCTAATACAGAGTTTTGGTTTTTCACGTCCTAATTTCACAGAATGTAATCAGGAGATTGAGAGGAACGAAAAATTCTAAAATCATGCGAAGAAAATCAAAAAGTTTTTTGAAGTTAATTAATAAAGCTGACGACGTTGAGAACAATCTGAATGATCTTCTTGTGACTACTCACAACTGATCGTCATGACGTGCACAATAGTGATTCATCAATCAAAGAAGTTGACAGGTTCGTTTTAACAAAAATTGTAAAATTTTATTGACACTGATTTGGAACCATTCCGAATTGAGCGATCACGCTTACACCAAGATTTGAATTTATCCATAACTCTAACTTTTGCTAATAGTTCATCTATCGTTTGCCTTACGAATGTAAACATCCTATATATGAACATCTTCTGATCTAGAAAATAGTTTGAAATGTTGTATTTCAATGATAAGTTGGTGAGATTTGCATTCCACTTCATGTAAAATACTTTACAAAAAAATTGAACATCATAGTACATATTAATTCACAACATAAAAGAGAAGATGAGTGCTAGATAGTGTATGTATAGAATTGAGGAACAAACAATAACTCTTTAATTTTTTTTAGTTAGGTAATAGTCATTATTTTTGTTATCAATATGAAATCATTCAAAACCACTTATCATCAAGAAATAATACCTATTTTTACAACACCATTATGTACAATGATTGAATATAATATTTATTCAGAAAATTATGAATGCTCACAAAAACATAATTTTTGAAAAACTGAAATTCACCTTTTAATTTATAATGTTAACATTGAACCGTCATGGAAATATCCACTACTTCACTTGAGAATGGTATAATAAACCGAAACCGGTCTTAACAATTAAAAATCTTGGTAGAAATTGTGACAAAAATTATTTTCTCTATCGAATATAGAGGTCATCAATAGAACAAAATACCCACTAAGTTAACCCTCCAAGTTCCAATGTCGCATTTCAACAATATCAAAAGTGCGTTACTGCAGTAAACATACGTTTTGTTTCATATGGCGTTATTTTTCAAAACCTGAAGATAAACGGTAGTATAAAATTGAATTAATGTGTCAAACAAAGCAGCGAAATTCCGACACTTGAGGTGAGTCAAGCAGGCTTACTGACATATATATTCGTTTAGTATAGTTGGAGTTTGAAATTAAATAATAATAAATGCATTTCTTTATTGTATGGCTCACTTTTGTCAAGACTACTATTTGTCGCAACCTCCAGCTCAGTATTTTGCCGTATTTATACTTAATAAACAGACCTTCATCATACAGGACTATAAAAATCATCTATCTTATGGAAAGCTGGTACAGAAAGAGTTAGAAAAGTTTTGAATGAAACAATGTTTGTTATTTAGCGTTTCTAAAATAATCACATCATAATCATTCAACAAGATATTCAGGCATTCAAAAAATAATTAAATGAAAACAAATATTGGACAAAAGTCGATTCACTATAAAAGTATCAAGTTTTATAATGAGCTACCAAATAACTAAAACACAAGGTGAACCAGATAATTTCAGAAAGATAAAATCATATAACTTTTTTCCATTCAAATAGAGTTGAAAATTTTCGATAACTTAGTGAGATTTTTCATGATTGTTTTCAGTCTTTATTTTCAGAGAGTTTCTCAACATTTCGCCAGCACGACTGATCGACATCTTCAGAAGTATGGGTAATTTCTCCAATAAATGCCACACAAACCAACTATTCCAATATATAACTTAATATATAACTTCTTGAGCAAATTATTTATTCATCATTATTAATCGTCTGCTATACTAAATATCCCCAAAATGGTATGAATTCGAAGAGAAGCTCGCCTTCATGAAGAATGGATGACAGAAGGGTGAAGGAAAAGCGGAAAGATCCTGAAGAAGCAGACGGCTTTGTGGGATGATTAGTGATTCCTTGTTAACCAAAACAGAACAACAAAATCACTAGTCTTCCACACAACACCATCCTGTTAGTACAATCCACAATCCAAATCCCCACTTGCGTATTAGTAGTTGACTCCATCGGTTTATGTACAAAAATGATAACGATAAAATCAAATTCTGAAACGCACTGTATGATAAAATCAAACAAAAAGTGTTTGACCGCTAGTGATCAACCCATAAAATGTTTTCAGTATTTGATTTTCTTTAAAGTAATTAGTAAACAACACCACACAACACCGTTAAATAAAATCTGGATATAAGGGGGTTATTTTTAAATTAAGCCACATCTTTACTCAACTACAACATGATCTTCCTTTAATGTCTCGCTTGGGAATTGATGCCAAGATTTGCACTGAAAAGAGGAAATCATTTGAAACGTGAAAAATATATTATCAAAATTATAAATAAAATAATATAAGCGTTTTGAGTAGCTATAGTCAATGAAAATTATTGCTTATTTCAAAACTATTTAGCCAGAAGCATGAAAATTATTATATTTTAATAATGGATAAACTGGTTTTCACAAAAAAAATGGCGAAATAGTAATGATGAAACAATGAATGAAAGTATTCCAAAGAGAAAGGTGAGAATATTTTTTTGATTACTAAATTACCTTATTTTTTGAGAAAGAACAAATTCCTTTCATAGTGGAAAAAAACAAGGTTGTATTGTTTACTGACCTTTCTCACAAAATGAAAAATATAATGTATAATATGAAGTTTATTAAGAAACGTCTCAAAAATGAAAACTGATATCTTCTAAAGCTGAAAATTTAGAACTCACTCAAAAAATATGAATCAAGAAGTCATTGAAATATGGTTAGAATGTAGATAAATTAATGGACTTCCAACAGATCCTAGTTAAAGTTTTCAAGAAAATGAATTGGCATCTATTATTTTCAGAAATGTGTAAGAAAAATCAGTGATTTGGTTATCAATGAGGCACTGATACTATCTTTTCTGTCTCATATTATACCTTTTTCCAAAAAATGAATTAGGAATAGTTATCATTTTGTTGAATACATAAAGGTAAGAGGATAATAGAATAAAAATCCACCTCTTATATCCAGTAGAGTATATACAAAAATGAATAGAGAAAGTGATAATGCTAAATACAATTTACAACTTGTTTCTGTACACGAGTAATTTTGAAACCTAATCAGGATATCCATAAAGGAAAAAATACATATTTTTTGACATATATTTTAGATTCAAACGAATCGGAATTTTTATAATATAATTATTGCATTAGAAAATTCTTTGTTCTGGGGTTTGCAACAATAGTATAAAAAAGGAAAACTATATTTTGTTACAGAAAAATCCATCATTTTTACAAGGGATAAAATGGAGAATTTAGATGAAAGTATTGAAGTGACAAGCATCCACAAATATTCCACAGAACAATCGAGAAAACCTGACGAAACTGTACATAAAAACTGATGATTATACCCAAAAGTATATATTGAATTCAACTCACCTCTGCTGAAGTAAATATTGTGCCATCTGTATTTGGTTTGGTGCCCCAGTGATGGAGATGATGCGATCATTGGATCCAGGAAGTGGTTCATCAATAGTTATGTTAGCACCTGAATCCATGCGGATTTTTCTGATTCTGCCGCCTCCTTTGCCGATTATGGCTCCAGCAAGCTGAAAAAAAAAATTTCAATGGAAGTTCACGAGTGATAAATGTCGGTGAGTTCAAATGGAAAAGTGGAAAATTATTTTGTTTAGGGGTTCATGAAAAAATAGTGAAAACACAGGTTAACTATGACATACCAATTGCAGTAATATATAATCAAGAAATTGCCAAATTTTTTTTCAAGTTTTAAAAACTACATTGAAAGAATACACATTTATACAATGTATAAATACATGTATTTTAAATAATACTAAACTATATATTCGTACAAATTCAAAATATTTTTTGAGTATGTAGTTCAGTAGTGTAAAATATCAATAAACTACCTCTTTCAAACTTAGCGCCAATAAAAGTCGTCAAACTAATGGAAAGATACAATTTGAACTCAGATTCGATTAACCTAATCTTCTAAAGAAGAAATGCTGGTGTTAAAAAAATCACAAATATTGAAAATGGTCATGTGAAAATATATGGTATAGGAAAATTGAAACTGTAATAACTGTTCAATAAATAATATATGAACAATTAAACCGTCAAATGATAGTGATATGTCAACCAATAGGTTTCAAAATTTCGTTTGTATACCAAGTGCAAGCCATCAAGCTTTTATAAAAAAATCATGGTCACATATGACAAAACATATGTTTTGCTTTTCTTCTTCACTTAAAGAAGAAAAGGCTGCTATATAAAAGTATGTGTTTTATCGCATATTTCATTGATGTCGCATGTCTATTCTTTCACTGTCTCAACTGAGAAAGTTATAGTTAACGTTATTCGTAATTTGTGCTTTCTTATTTCCACTCAAATTTTCGCAGCTCACTTTTTTAGGAGTTATGACGAATGCAAAAGGGAACTTCATTATTGAAATATTGCATATTCACAAAAACGACTATCTAGTGAACCAAAACTCCATTTATTCTTCAAGTCTTTCATAATTGGATGATTAATTGGTTTATTTGTTAATGTTTGTGTTGAAACAAAAATTCAAAAATGTATTGGACCAGGACTCAAGAATGATTTTTATCAAATATAAGATTCATAGTTTGACAGCATTATATCTCGAAAATTTATGAATTATTGTTAGTACAACTTCCATAGATTTCTTCTCAGATTTCAAGACTATGAAAATATTTTGCCAGTCTATATTTTCAGATTATAAAAATAAACCCTTGGCACATAAAGGATAACAGACGAGAGCACTTAATAAATACCATTATTAATATTCTTGTCTAACCTTAATTGATCAGTATCTATACTTTCTCTTTCTGCATTGCTCAGTTATAAAATATACAATAGAGAAATGTATAGTTTTCCATTAAAAATATAACAACAGTGTACAGTTCACAATTCACAAACATTTAACATGACAAGTGAAACACAAAACTAGTAAACCACTACAAAGCTCATAGTATCAATGTATCAGACATGTGCCTCGAGGCTCAGATGTTCTTTTAAACTATTGATGAATGAACTATAACCCGGCAACTCACGTATATGGACAGGTAATTCATTGAAGACTTTTATATCCTGAGTAAATGGATTGTATATTCGTTTGTTCGTTCTTACCATGCTCAGGTGTAAGTCATTTCTTCCCCTTGTATTATACTCATAAAACTGGTTATTGACTAGTAGATCGTTGTTGCTTTTGATTCTTTTTTTTTTTTCATTTTATATATATGTTCTTGCATTGCTCAAGTTTAAGTAGATATTTAATTGGGTGTAGTTCAGTCTGTGAGAATAAATCATTTGTGTGGGTTCGAAATGAAATTTTTATTGATTTATTTTGTAGCGTTTGGATTTTTTTGAAATTATTAATGCCACAATTACCCAATATGATTAACAGATACCTAAGATTCGCCTATATATATGAATTGTAAACCAAGTATCTATAACTGAAACTCAAGTAACTGGAACACCTATATAGAGCTCCTAACATTGGTACAATTTCATCATTAATATGTTCTATGTGTCCTGACCAGTCTAGCTTATTACCTATTATGAGTCCTAAATACTTGGTTTTTGCAACATTCAATATTTCTACAAATTCTATTTTTTTGTTTAAATAGCATGTAAACGGTTTTTGCAGAGTTACAAATTAAACCACTGAAAAACCACTTCTATTTATCCAGTCAACATACAGTGTGTCCCAGGATTGATTTCACAAGAGATGTGGTAGACTGAAAAGATTTAAATTTTGATTTGAGCTTATGGCGAAGCCAAACTTAAGTTTGACTAGATATTCTACTTCAAAAAAGGAAAATTATCTTTATAAATCAACAAATAAGGCAAAATATAAATTATACTTCAATACCACCCCCACAAGCCACATAAACAACAGTTGTTTTGTTATTTATTTATATAGAGGAAGATAGGTTAGGTGCACAAAATGTCATATCACAGAATGTCTCGGAACATAAGTAAACAGAACAGCACGTTTCTGAAATATGTCATCTTTGTTTGTCTCATACAGGTAACAGATTCATTGTCCTTTATTAGCTATAACCGATGTTGCCAAATGGTGAAATAGAAACGAATCCCTTTAAATGCTGAATGCATTATTTCATTCCTCTTTTTTGAGTATTTAAATGAATTTTTAAGGAAAAAGGTTGAAATGATAAGTTTAAAATGCGTTGTTTTAGAGCTCTTTTATGAAAACTACTTGATTTTCGTCAGGAGGAACATTCCCCATTGTATTTGAGCATATTTCAAGACTTTACACTTGAATAACTTACTTTATTCATGGTCACATAAATACTACAACTACTAATGAAAGAAACTCACCTCTTTAGGAATAGTCACCTGAGTGGTGTTGGAATTTCCTCCAGAACCACCTCCAGATCCACCACCCAAATTACCACCAGATGATGGTATATTTCCAGACATTACGCTTGGAGGGGGAGAAGAGAACTGGTTGGACGAACCACCTCCCCACCCATTGCGTTCAAATGGAGGAGGACCACCTACAGAAGACAAAACAAGTGTGGAGAAAAATCTTCAAACAATTCATATTGAATAATATATTTACTGCAAGTGAGTATATTTTTCCATACAATATTCTATTTCTTTTCATTTTTAACTAACAGAATTCCTGCAGTTGATATAAAAAAAAAGAATAGCATGAACAAGTCATATCTTGATACCTGATAACTGACCCAAAAATAATTTGCAAAATGTATTATCATTTTGTAAAATCGGTTCAGAAATGCATCCTTTTTACTGAAAAAAAGATGGGTAGTATTCATTTATAATATTACTGGGATTCATATTACACCAAACTCATAAATTTCAGAAACTCTAGAAAATTCATCCAATCCAACAGTACATAAATGAGGTCCAGCATTGTATCAGTACTGTTTATTATTGAACAAGCCAACAATAGGCAATTTTAAAATGAAATATGCCTGTGAAAATGTCACAATATAGTGTTACCTAAATACGAAATCAAAATTTTACTGGAAGCCATTTCCCTTTACTGGATTCAATTTTGGATCTATAAGTTACAATTCAATTCTCTATAACTTCAAATAATACTTTTCCCAGGTACTTCAATAATATAGCCATGATCCCTTTCACTATCAAAAATAAACTTCTGTGCTTGACCTATACATCTTTGTAAAGAGTTTATATTGAAGTCAATAAGGTTCTTCCTTTCTTTGGAAGTTCCTTAGTTTTAATACGGGGTGTCCCTCATGGATATAACTCAAAGGGAAAGAGTAAAAATTATTGTGAGAAAGTCGAGGACGTTTTTTTTCAAAATTAGGAGTAGGATTCTTGATCTATCATTTCCAGCAGGTGCAAAAGACTTTGACGTTTCCTGAAATTTGAAGCTTTATTTTATTTAACTTCTCTGTATTGCATGTGTTTTTAATGTCACTCAATTATAATTTTGGTGATTTTAGAATGTATACCCCTAAGGAAATAGCAAATAGTATCAATAATCTTAATGATTCAACATTTGTAGAAGCAGCCAGGTCGAAACAAGCTGTTTTTGCTTTTCGTAAAAAACCATTTGTTAAAGTTCTTTTGACACGTTCGCTGTTACTTGATTTCACCAGTGAAGATAAACTTACCTCCTCTTGAACCACCTCCAAATGAAGAACTCGAACCACCAAATCCTCCGCCACCACTTCCAAAGTTATCGCGGCCTCCGCCTCCACCAAAATTGTCGCGGTTTCCACTACCGAAGCTGTCGCGACCTCCTCCAAAACTATCTCTGCCGCCTCCAAAGTTATCGCGACCTCCTCCAAAACCACCACCACTGCCTCCGCGGTTATTTCCTCCTAATCTGTTGAAACTAAAAAAAAAAAGGTCTTTTTTTACATGATGTTGAAATTTCTATCAATACATTAAAACATACTGGAAATTAGTTTAATAGGAGTAATTATGATATCAGGATTGGATTGATATAGATATAAGTAAAAGACTATGTTGGTAGGAAAGTCCAAAGTGAATTGGTCTGTCCGGCAACCCATGAGGGTGTATAGTGGCTCACACCTGTTCAAACTCGACTTCCTGTAACCGAGTAAATAAGATGGTGCATTTTCTGATGTTATTTTATGAATGAAAAGGGAAGCTTGAAAAAAAAGGTATGAATAAGTAACATTCACACAACATATTCCTTATTGGGGTGAGTTCGGGTTGAGATAAAATCATTCTCATTGCTCAATCTTTTTGTTCAGACTCTTAATCTCATTTTTTATTGAGCAAATATAATGTCGTGAAGCAGTATCGAAATTGGGTACTATACAAACGTTTATAAATTATAGTTTTTAACCATTCTTTAAATGAACTAAATGAATCTCTGAGAGTTGTATCCTTGATATACCTGCTACATAATGTTTTTCGACCTATTTGAACGCCAGTTATCTTTTGTTTTTACAAAAAGTGGTTTAAACTCTTCAAGAAAGGATTGATATAGTGGGGTTTTACTATGAACACGAAAAATCTGCAAGAGCCACCATTTGAGATGAAACACATAGATAGGTATTGGAACTGTTACATAAACTCATAAAAACAGGTATTATTGATAACAGACAACCGTTCAGGTTCAGGCATTCAGGAATAGTTAATAACGAAGGCATATATGCCTTGAGCATCGAAACTGGGTCAAACCAACGGTTTCAGAATTTTTATTCTAAATTCCACCTTTACAAAATGAACATGATTTCTGAATTGAACGAAGATTATTCTGACAATAAGTTGAATTTGGTGACACCCTGTTTTGTTGTACACCATAGTTTCTCGGATGAATGTACCTTTTGTCTGATACCTGGATTGATTCAAATCATATGATACGCCGATATCAGCAAAAACTAAATGTTTGAGAGAAATGTTATGAGACCATATTATTATAGGACCATTCTAGGAAGAAGCAAACCTAATTGGTGAAGGATATTTCAATTTGATGGAACATCAAATTATGGAAAGCATTAACAACGCCATCTAGTTAGATCCTCTATAGTTGAATGGGGTATTTTGTCAACTAGGCGGAACTTTTCATTGAATAGTATCAGTGGGACAGTTTCTCGATAATGACTTTCCGGGTCGAAGGATGGAAAGATTCTACAGAATGACCGCCAAGAACCCCTGATTTTACTCTACCGGATTTTCTTCTATGCGGATGATTAAAATCAAAACTACGAAAGGCAGCTAACTAATGTAGATAATTTACAGAAAGAAACTAACACCAGATATTCTACAGAATGTAAGGGAAAAAAGAAGCTCGTTTATACCATTGTATTCATGTTTGATAATACTAAGTTTAAATTTGATAAAGTGAATTTTTCTGTTCAGTTTCACTTTCTAGTTCTAAATTAAATACAAACTGAGAGTGTTATATTTTCTCTGAGACTGTTTATCTTTGTAATGTCAAAAATAGAGAAATATAGACATCATTATATTATTATTCCCATTTGAAATATTTAACCGACAACTGGTTGATTTTACGAAAAAATGTGCCCCCTTGAAAAATAAAGTTTGAGATGTTTCACGATTTTTTTCAGTTTCAATATTAAATGATTTATCTAGGTAAGTGAAATACACAATATCACTTAACAAATGAAAGTTATTTACCCTCCACCGCCACCTCCAAAGTCACGAGATCCAGAACTGCCGCCGCCGCGGCCTATGTTCCCACCTCCGCGACTGTTGAATCTTCCTCCGCCGCCGCCTCCAGGGCCGTCGCGCATACCGTTTCTGGAATTACCTCCTCCTCTGGGACCGTCGCCACCTCCACGACGACCACCGGGGCCGCCGTTACCACCGCCTCCTTGCTGGTTACCCCAGCCGCCGTACTCTTCAGAATACACTTCATCGAAATTATGGGGATCATATGGATTAACAGCTCCTTTGATGGGGCTCTGCAAATAACAGTGATATTCTTTTATGTCTAGCCAGTATCAGTGAAATAACCAGAATTTCTCATATCAAAAAAATGTCAAGTATAACAATATGACTGGAATAGTTATTATGGTACCAGAATTGTAACAAGAAAATGAAGGCTATTGATAAGATATAATTACATCCAATAAACCATCAAGAATGATTATAGAAAATTATATTTATCCAACAATTCCTATCTTCATCTTCTACTTTGTAGGATTTCTTTCCCAATCCTATTGTATTTTTGTAGGCTACCCATAATGAAAATGTATATTTTTTACATCATTTTGAGCTGTGATGGAAGAGCAGAATAAGTTTTTATCTCAATTCTGAACCAGTTGCCATTTATCCTGCATGTCTGGTAAATAATAAATGAATCAATATCATTGAAGCTGCGGCGTGATTTTCTGCAGAAAATCAATCTTGGGAGGTAGAAGTAGAAAGTCAAAAACTTTCCCAAAACATTTTTTAGACTCTCTAAGAGCTCTACCTCAATGGAGTGTACAATCCCAAAATATCCAATAGAATCCTTGAAAATCAAGCAAGTTAGGAAACAATAGTTTCTCAAACAGAAAAATAATTGTCCGTATCTTATGACATCTTTGTCCAGAAATTACTTGGTCGTAACTGAAGAGGCTTCGTATTAGATTCAATCAATTCAACTAATATGCAAAAATTCAAAAGATATTTAGATCACAGGGAAGAAGATCCATGAAGAAACTGAAGTATTAGAGTGAATGCCTGGACAAGTTATAACTCTGACTGGTGTTTGGGAGGTATTTTCATTATTATTCTTGTTCCTAAGAAGGGGTATTACTGCCTCTGTGCTCTGATTCTTAGTTGATATTACTTTAATCTGTTTAAAATCTGTCCTGAAATTACTTGGTCGTAACTGAAGAGGCTTCGTATTAGATTCAATCAATTCAACTAATATGCAAAAATTCAAAAGATATTTAGATCACAGGAAAGAAGATCCATGAAGAAACTGAAGTATTAGAGTGAATGCCTGGACAAATTATACTCTGACTGGTGTTTGGAAGGTATTTTCATTATTATTCTTGTTCCTAAGAAGGGGTATTACTGCCTCTGTGGTCTGATTCTTAGTTGATAATACTTTAATGACAATTATGAATGAGCATCAAGCAAACAGTCCTAAACTTTATTTAGGGTTAGTTGTAAAGGAACAGAACGACTCATACCAGTTCCCTTTATCCATTTTCTAAATAAGTTAAATGTGCGTGATAAATAATTGACAACAAAAACTTACATTATAAATATTTTGGAGTTTGAGATCGAACTATCCACTGATCACACCAAACAATCAAAGTCATGGTAACATGCTACATAAACACAAACTTCATGACTTTTAGCTTGAGTTAAGAGGTAAAAAGTATAAATAGGTAATATGGCAGACAAACACAAAATTTTTGTTTTCCTGAATGTCAATAAACGACATCTAGATACAAATAACGAATAACCATAAAATGAGTAGAGTGAATTATAGATTGGAGAGGATGGCATCAGAATGGTATACTAATGACAAGATCTGAACAAAAATGGCGAAGTTATATGCCAAAAGTTTTAATGTTTCAACCTAAAAATCTTTACAGAAACGAGTGCTACACAGATCAGTTTTCAGGAATATCAAAGGAGAACATACAAGAGGTCCGATACTTCTCAATACAATTCAACTATTGGAAGGAAAAATTTGGTGACCAAGTTCCAAGTCTGGTTATTGAAGTATAGGAAAAAATAAACATTCTCACCACAGAAAAAGATAATTTTTTGTGCACTTTTGGAGAACAAATACAACCATTATAATAACAAGGAAGCAAACTCCAGGGTTGCATTGTTTGACAACTTTCAATTTTTTCAATAGAATAACAAGGACATGGATAATAAAGTCATCCATATAAAATTCTTGAAGGAGTAATCCTAATGTATTTTACCAACCAGATCAATGAAATATCTCACAGGAGATTAAGTGACGACACCAGAAATTTTTGTTGAGTTCAGAGAAACTTCAGCCTATCATTGAACCTCAGGAATCAAATTATTACAGAAAGAAAAGAAAAAACAAAACAAAAAAAGGTGATACAACAACTCGTCACATTATACAATTAATTTATAAGGTCTTTCAGGAACATTTTGGAAAAATAGGAGCTGACTCAATGAAAAAATAATGATATGTAGGTGTGAAATTTGAAAACAATCTGAAGCTAATCAACATAATACTCAAGTAAGATATTTTCATTGCAACAAAAAGTATTGGTTGAATAGTAACTGATGAATATACTTTTATGGAATTTTTACAAAGTATAATAATTTTTGTAATTCCCTATTGTTCCACAAAATATTGTTAAACAAATATGTAATAACCGACTTGAAATATATGAACAAAAAAAACGATTGCATTTCGGATATTTCTTCAAACAGTGAAGCAACAGTTTATATGAATTTGTATGTCAACAGACAAAACATGATTGGAATAGCCTGAAGTACTCCATAAAAGCGGCCAGTAAAATATATGTATTGCATTTCCGGATAATTCATCAAACGAATTCGCATAACAGCGTGAAAAACTGAACAATCGCCCAAATAGCAATGTATATTTACACTCTTTCATCTCATGAAAATGTATTTCAAAATTAAAAACCATTTGAGCATTTGTTTGAAAACTTGTCTTTACATTAGTCAAACAGAAATTATATTGGACCAAGCAAGCAAAATGTGAATATAAAATGTTTACTGAATACGTTGAAATAAAAAAATTAAACCGGATTCATAATTTCGAACTCAATAATCGCTCCGAGTAGCTCAAAAAAAAATAACCAACCTGTTTAATCAGCGTCAAAATTTCCCTGATTGTATCAATGCATTTTGCTGGTTCTCCAATGATTTGTATCACTCTATCGGTACTTTGCGGGGCTAAATTGGAGAAGATCTTGATACGTGCTCCAGTTTTCTGAAACAAAAGGAATAATGAGATAAAAAATATTATAATATAAACGCAATTGACAATAGATATAGTTTAAGAAACACGCTTTTGAAGAAAATCGAACTAAAAAGTTAAAAATATTTTTTTTTTAATAAGCTTAAAACAATTTTTAACTTTTTAGATCGATGTTCTTTAAAAGCGTGTTTTTTAGTTTTTTAAACTAGATTTATTTTTCATAGTTCAGTTTCGTATGCTATAAAAGCGTGTTTTTTAGTATTTGCTAACTATATTTATTTTATCTAAACTTTGGGATCAATCAGCCGTATATTGTTTAGAAAAATGACCATTGATATTTTCCGATTCCGGAGAGGGAGCCTGAAAATCAGCTGCCAAGTCCAAGGCAGCAGGCGCGCAAAGGAGGGTTACAAATAAGGCAGCAGGCGCGCGTTAATAAAAAAAATACTTTTTTCAAATGAAGAAATATTTGTAAAGTGAGTTCGAATTATATCAAGGAGGTTACATATAGCGCTATCTGCCCCCCGCGAATAGATGAAGCAATAATGTCGATATATCAAGGATGTTACGTACAGCGCCATCTGCCCGCGAATAGATCAAGCAATAATGTCAAATACGGATCCCGATATGAAATGAAAAAGAAAGTTACAAACAAATATACATACAGGTAAAGCTAATATAAAGCGTGTGAAAAAAGTCATCTTCTAACGATTTTCTTTGACTATACCATTAACTTTTCTCACTCGATATGGACAAAAACGTGAATCCTCCCTAAATTTACGTTTCCAAATTGACAAAGGTCCCATTCGAACGAGCCCATTGTATACCTTTTTATGAATAACTGTTGAAATTTCAGAAAATAAATGTGTACTCTGTCTGTTAGATATAAATGAAGGCCAATTTCACAATTAGGAATTAATTTTCTTCTTTTCATGAAAGCACCAACTTGGTTGGTGAAACGCGCGTCGAAAACAGTATTGCGGTTCTGCTGATCGGGACAAGTGCTTGGTTTTAAATTCATTCTACGCCAGAGGTTTCAGTTTTACCTTTCGTTCACTGTGTTTTTCACTAATTCGTCTGCCTCAATTCATAACGAAACCACCTCACTCCCCTTTATAAGCATCGTCTCGAAAGCGTTGAAAAAAGTAACCGACTGAAACTGTTCGAACTTTTGGTATGCTGTCAACAGCATGAAATACTTTAAATGTGTACAAAACTCGTTCCTGTCTGCGAAAGTCTTTCGTCAGAACACCAAGTTACTTAAAAAACCGTATTTTTCTTGCCATTTGCGAATAACGCCTCAGGCGGCGTTCCTTCTATTTGCATTGTCGCCAACATACATATAAAAGGGAAAACTTTTATGGGTTATTTGTCGGGCCGGGGCGTTTTCCCGGAGAAAGCATCAAACAGGCAATAATGTTGATTATTCTTCAATTATCCCGTTCCTATTATCCTCGGAACTGGGAATCGAGATAACCGAGAAATCTGCTAATGGCGAGGGTCGTTTCTGATGGCAAATCGAAAAAAAATTAAGTGAAACGGCTAGATTCCGTTTCGATCAACGTGTAGATGTTGATGAAAATCGAGGGTTTTTCCGGAACGCTGCTTTGAGACGTTCATCGGTTATGCTAATGGACTTCCTCTTGATGGAGTCGTTTGATCTCACTTTTTGACATCTAGAGAACGAATACACTATTGGGCGCAGCTATTTCATTCAAAATGTAGGGTTAAGCTTATTCCAGTAGAAACAAAATTCTCGATTTCAAATTGAGAATTATTTCGCTAACGTGCTTTATTGAATGAGGTATTAATTATTCTGAAGGTAATGACACTACATAGTACGAACGTTGTTCGTTGGCCGATGCCGAAGTTTTGGCTCTGTAACTGACCGCTTTGGGGAGCCTCAATATTCGACGACTGAGTCTTCTATCGATCCAATAGATGACGTCGTCGAATAGGGGGAGACTTGTCCTTTTGGGACAGTTGAATGGTTTGGCCTAGTAGCACTAATGAGACTTTGGCGGGTTCGAAACACCGCTGTTTGTTGTTGAATCACCTATAACCTAAACACAATACTGTTAATGTAAACACAATACTGTTTCTCGATAAGATCTCAAATCCAAGCTGACATTATCTGGCCTTGGGACTTGTTATAGTCATTGCAAATGTAAATCCAATTGGTGGTATTAATATATTTCCACGAACTTGTCATTTAAAATGCTGGCTTCGACAAAGTTTTTTTTTGAATTTTTTAATGACTAATCGTGTACCGTTGCACAGCCGTGATGGATTTAAATTACGGAGCAATCCAACCTTCAGTTGTAAATTATGCAGTGGCATGCCTGGCAAATCCAATAAGTTCAAAAACTATGTTGGATAATTCACAGCTTCGGTGGCATCGCAAACTTTATCTAATACTGTACCGAGTCTTTTTCATGCAACATCGAATGTACTGCAGTCTGTGATATACCAAGTAACTTTTATCTCATGGTATTCACATGTCAATCTTCTTCAATTATCTTCTCGGTAGCCTTTCACAAAATTCTTTACTGACCGACATACGACCATGATGATATTCTGCAAACCAACTGTTGTAGAAACTTGTTTCCAAAACTTGAACGATTCAATTTCATAATATTCTAATCGAGTTTGGCCGTTCTGAAAGTCGGATGAAACATCCAACAAAATCTTTCACCTTAATTCAATTTTTTCTCGATCTTGTTTTTTTATCGCTGTCAAATTCATATTGAATTTTCACAAAAAAACATCATTTGCTCTAGATATATTTTGTCCACAATTCTCTAGCACAAGTTGCTCGAATAGCTTTTTTTACAGCAAAACTTTTTCATCAGATAATAACTTTTATATAAGAAACGGGAGCAAACATAAAATAATTACTTTTTCCCATTCCTCGCCACAAAAGTAAAAAGGAGGATATATCAAAGCAAGACATGGGTAATTTTGAGATAACTTTTATGTAAACAAAATTTTGTCGAACACGGAAAAGTTTTCAAGTTTCTTCTTCATTTTAAAATCATTAGCAAAGTTACCGTTTTCCGCACCAAGATTTTGAGGGACTCAAAACTATTCATAACATATCAAATAGTTGCGAGAATGAAAATAATTAGTATGGAGTTTCTAGAAAATAATGAAATTCAAAAATTTCAAGAATGAAGAAATATTCGTGGACAAACATACTTGTCTCTATTTTTGGAATAATGATTCCCTAGGAAATGATCTGGAGTTAGGATACTCGCGTGGACAAGTATGTCAAGTTTTTGAAACTAAACTTGGAAGTGTTTAACCGAAAAAATATCATTACATTTTAACAACTTTTCATCTGACCAACTCACTGGGAGGTACAATTCATTGCTGATGTTGGCATAAGAACAAGAACCCTCCCAAGTATAAACTTGTAGGAGCTAAGGATTAACGTAGATTGGCCATTTGAGGAGATCTATGTTTTAGTACTAAGCATCAAATAATTTTTTTGAAGTATATAGTTTTACTCAAAAAAGTGACATATTTTGATTATCCATCTCTTCAAGCCTATAACCGGCTTGACAAATTAATTCACCACAGAAGCCACTACCTATTTTCATGAATATTCAGCCGTTTTTCTCTGTGCAATTCATTTTAAAAATGATGCGAAAATTAAATTATGCCTGAACTAATATAGTACTGGTAGACTGGTATTGAATGATGTTTCGTATGGAATAGCAATTTTATTCTGCTTTTTATAAAATAATATTCTTGGTATAGTACAGTTCCATAATAGTGGGTAGACACTAAATTTCCAGATATATTATTGCATTAAAACGAAAATATTGTCAAGGAGGTGAATCTATATATTTTATAATTTTTCCTCATCTGTTCAGTATAATTTCCGTACACCACTGCAAGAGACATATTAAGGCAAAGAGTTCAGTAATTTCTGAGAATTTAGTGCCTACTGGTTTGGAATTATAGTATAGTATATTATATTCTCGAGAACGAAAACTGAATTTTTTCGGACAACTATATTATGACATTTATACATTTCGAAATATAAAAACTGAAAATTTTATTTGGTACGTATCATAAGTATCATGAAGATCTTGTTTCTGGAATTTTGAAAAAACAAAACAAAAATAAGTGAATTTTTTCAACAAAAAAACTTGAAAATAAATATCTTGTTTCTGGAATTTCGGAAAAACACAACAATGAGTGAATTTTTTCAAAAAAATGGCTTGAAAAACTTGAAATGAAGATCTTGTTTCTGGAATTTCGAAAAAACATAACAATGAGTGAATTTTTTCAACAAAATAACTCGCAAAACTTGAAAATGAAAGATTTTGTTTCTGGAATTTTGGAAAAACACAAAAATGGGTGAATTTTTTCAACAAAATAACTTGAAAAACTCGAATTATTCCACTAATTATTACAAAGTATTAAATTGAAAGGGGTATATTTTTCGGAGAGATCAACTTTTAGAAAGAAATGTTTTGGCTTTTTATTTTTCCATCTTTATACAAAAAAATGTGGGAATCTTCTAAAGAAGATTCCCACTTTTTTTGTATAAAGATGGAGAAGTAGAAAGCCAAAACGTTCGTTTCCCAAAAAAGGAAGTATGTTCTCAAGTTGAATAATAATTTCAATTTGAAATGATTGCTAAAAAATTTCTGACTATAGAAAAAAAACTGTTCAGTTCAAAACTGTTATTGAGATTATCGGGTCCTTGATATCTTTCGAATAAACTAAATGTCGGTAAACTTATTTGTACGAAATCCCACTGAAAAAAGTATGTAGGGATTTGTTTTTACTTGAACATTCAAGATTATTCATGGTCTTTCTGATATAGAAAACAAGCTAATGAATACTTCCAAAATAATTTCTACAATTTTTCAATGCAGATCTTGTCTCACTTCCTAATAATTCATCAATTTAAATAAATTTCAATAAACAATCATATTCTTAAGCAGTTTATATTCCCATATTCTCAAGCTATTTATATTCCAACAAACACAAGTAAC